CACACATATATATATGTGTGTATAATAATTCAATGTAATTTGGTATATAAACAAGTTAATATTTCATTTACATTTTGCAATCACACTCATAACTATATTTTGATAATTCTTTTTCAATATGTAAGTGAAATGTCCAACAGAATTTCTAATCGCCCAAACACCTATCAAAATACCAGGACAAAATGTATTAAGGTCATAACTTAGTTTATTTTATAAGTAGATATTTACCTGCTGACTCGACAGAAGAGTCAATGATTTGAAACATTCAAATCTCGCACAGAAATACAAAATATTTCTGAAAACGTGTGGAGAACTGAATTTTAATATTTCATGAATCCGAAAATAGACATCGACAGTTTGTTTTTATAAATTAGTATCTGCATTGCAATTTCTTCGAACCATAAAGCATTTAATTTAAAATTTTCTTTATGCATATCACTTCTGTAGAGTTTTACAATAAATTAGATCTATGGTTAACCCACGTCTGATGTGAAACAATGAGTTTAAACCCATTATTTCACATCACACGATCCACTAATATAAATCGTTTTGCAGCGTATGGAAATCTAAAGATTTCAATAAGCTGAAAATGATTCATATGAGTTAATATCGCTATTCTATATAATTATGATTCATATGAGTTAATATCGCTATTCTATATAATTATGATTCATATGAGTTAATATCGCTATTCTATATAATTATGATTCATATGAGTTAATATCGCTATTCTATATAATTATGTTTAAAGAATACCCATACAATAGAGTTAATGCCATAATAACAAATTGTGGAAATTAATTTTCATTTTTTTTATTTTACTTCACGATTCAGGATTTAAACTTTGACATTATAAAGCAGCCTTTAATCAACCAGTTTGTTTGTCATGATAAGGAGAAAAGTTCAGTGTTTTTTTCTTGAAAACGTTTTGTTTTATCAGTTGTAATGATAACGTTCTTAACTATAATCAATTTGCTGTTGATTGATTTAGAAAGAGAATGTGATCGTTTCTAAAGAAACTGTGTATCTAACTGTATAAGGTCAGAATAAAGGTGATAGCGTGCAAGAAAAGAGATTTAAATAGACTTTATCGCGTCCTGATTTCTAAGAATATTTACGTCAGTGAAATCAAACCTTTTACCTTTGAAAGATTTTCTAATGAAACAAAATTAAGGCGTGTAGAATATAAGAATATATGTTCCATTGTGTCAGGAGATTGCACAAGATCGTTTCATCACGGAGAAAGATCCAGGTTAGTAACTTGCTGAGAATGAAATTATGAATGTCGAAATAACTAGAACAATGACTACATCTTTTTGTATCTAAAACTTGCATAGTGGCTTCTAAACTCGGTGTAATTAAACATCACAAAGAAAGCTGAAACACTGTCAGTACCGTGTAGCAAACATGATATAGTGATCATATGAAAGATGCTACATTATAAAACAACACTCTATAACAAGTATAAACAAGAGACTCAGAAACACTTATTGGATTTATGTTTTTTTAATGGTAATTCATTGTTTGAAACATTCAAACAAGAATAAAGTGATTCAGAATATTAAAGGAGAAAATTAATTAATATAACGACATTTATTTTCTTGTCAAAGTTTTAACACTTTTGCAATGGGCAACTTATTTATGAGATGATCTTAATTACCTTTTGTTATATCTACTTATAAATCTTGTAGTCAAGTTCCTTTCTCAAGAACAAAACAAAAACTTTCCATTATAGTGCCATTTTTACTTTTTATTCAAGTTTAAATACTTGACACCTGAAGGGAATGATCGATAAAAGTTTCAAAGTCGAACTTACGGCTCTTCTTTCCTTTCAAAGTTAGCTATATGTTTAAATTCTTTAACTTGAACAACTCATAATCCTATATAGCCAAACTAACACTCGTGAACTGATACGTTAAACAGTAACGAAATTTAGTCCGAAGAATTAAAACCGGTTGACAAGAATGAATAATTGTTTAGATGTGAGTCGTTGTTAGCTTGGACATCCACATTTACTAAAATTCTAGAATCTTTATCCAAGATACATTTTATATTAGTCGTTTATGTGCTTTGATTTATGCATTGTTTACGTCACAACTTTAAATGTTGTTTTTATATTTAGGAGATTCAACGGTTTCTTTACTGCGAAATGCTGATTGAAATATGTTTTTAAAATATATAAGCGAAGTTGTGTTTTCTAAGTCCATTATGTAATGTAATGCGAGTAAAAACTTTTTGAAAATTGAATATGTTTTTTGTTTTCGAATTTCGAGCAAAGCTACACGAGGGCTATCTGCGCTAGCCAGTCCCTAATTTTGCAGTGTAAGACTAGAGGGAAGGCAGCTAGTCATCACCACCCACCGCCAACTCTTGGGCTACTCTTTTACCAACGAATAGTGGGATTGACCGTCACATTATAACGCCCCCACGGCTGAAAGGGTCTTACTGGAGATGGAAATATCCTCTGATGCTGTAACAGTTTCTCTTGCTCATTCTCTGTTCCATCAAATTAACGTTTTTATTTTTGTACACATTATTAATGTAGCATTGGATATTAAGTATAAGCTTATAGGAAATACATTTGAACACAAAATTCACCAACTGTGAACATCTTTATGCTTATTAAGAGACAGAGTTGTTTGTCGGGGAACAACGAAGTGATGACATTAAATAACTTGTGTTCCTCCGAGTGGTCATGTAGTGAGCAAAAGGAAATAAAAAATCTTATTTTAAACAGAAAAAAATATTCTGTACAGAATTGATCTCTCCTATCGACATAATAAAAAAGCTGAGCTATTTTTAAATTATCAATTTCGCTTATTTTAATGTTCACATTCTTTGTTATTGCTACGGTATACACGGATTTAACACTAAATTTGTAATCGAAATGATCGTTTCAATAAATGTATAACACTTGATGTTTACCAAACTGATGATAAGAAAGTCAGACTTTGCTATCAGCTCAAATGATTTGCAGAATGTATAGTAACTATTTCACTTTTCTACTGTTGAGTAAGACACCAGCTTCAAAGCCAGTATTATAAGCTAATCTAAAGGATTACCTGCTAGTATTTTCTCTTAGACTATACGGTTTATTTGGTAAGTTTGAAAACACATAAGAAAATATTTCTTGTGTTTTTTTTTGTTTAAATCACCAGCACTAATCTATACATTGTAAGTGTGACTGACTGTGTTTAATTAAGGGCATAACTATTCAATGGGCTACCGGCACTCTGCCCACTGCGAGAAAGGAAATTGAATTTTAGCGTTACTAGCCTGAAACTTATCAATGAGACACCGGGGATTACAATGATTTGTTTGTCTGTTATTAAGCACAAGGCTACACTAGGGGCTATCTGTGCTATTTCTTCGGTGGATATTGAAATCATAGTTCTAGCGTTTTAAGCTCTCAGACTTACCCTAAGCCACCGGAGAGCCACAGCAATAAAAAATAAATAAACTGTTACGATTCTACTTAATCTACTCATAACCTACTTTTATTATTATTTTAGAACTAATTAATATGATGAGAAGATATATTAGAATATGATAAACGATATTTTCATTCGAGTTTCAATCTTATTCTTTACAATGAATAAATAGAAAAACGCGAAGGTGATAAAATAAAGAAATCAGACTTTTGGAACGTAGTTCCACTAATTCTCATTAACCGACAGGCTTGTTTCTGGCTCAAAAAAAGAGCGTTTACTCGAAACCTCACAAAAGAAATAAAATACAACTATAGTTTTAAAGGTGATTTATTTCCAAATGTCTAGTAAATTAAGAAAAATTTTAAAAATCCTGAACTTAATGATCATCAATGTTAAAAATGCAGCAGTGATCAAACAAGATCCGATGGATCATAAAATAGAAAAGTAAAAATACTGCCGAAGATACAGGATTAGCTTTTTCCCCAAATTAAGATTTTTTTCCTCGAAATAATTGGATCAATAGCTTCGGTTAAGTAGTACATGATTTAATATGTCTACATATTGATAACTCTACATCTGTGTTTATCGTATACTCTATTCTTGTTAAGTTTAATTTTTATCTTTTCTCTCTCTCTCTCTTTATATATATATCCTGAGTGAGTGCAAAAGCGACTATCAAATTGTTTCGTTTAGGGCACAATTCAATTTCCAATGTTTTAATCTGAAACAAAAATATTAAGTTGGTTTCATTTGTCTTTATAATATTTTTCTTTAGTACTATCCGTATAATACCAGTTCTATAGTAGCTTTTGCCCCATCCTGTATTTATGCAAGTCATTATACATACTTTACGTTCGTATTTTCAATTGACTAATCGATTTTTTCCTACTCTGTATACAGTAATTTTGCACATAAACAATGAAGTAGGTGATGAATGAAAATAATGTGCTCCATTATTATTTTAAAATCAACGTCTTTCGCCGGCATGTTTTTCTGATAAGTATACGCATTAAAAAAAAAGAAAATAGTCATATATTATTAATTCAGTTTACAAAAATATACACAAAGAAAACTGGAAAGATTTCCTGTGATACATAACTGTAGAAACGAGCATCGAAATGATGAATTCTCTTATTGTTTTACTGACTTTTTGACGATAAAATTCAATGTAATTCATATGAAAGATTTCCTTTTTTTTCTTCTCTCTAAAGGTAAAAGCAAAAAATAATCACGGATCTCTAAGACACTAAAGAACTTCCAATGTCCGTGCAGTGTAAAAGGAACAAATGTGTAACATTCATTCGACAAAATCTTCTGACACTCTTGACATTCCTAGCAGTAGTCCTAGGGATTAGTACTGGCTTTGGTCTCCGAGAAGCAAAAACGTGGACTAAAAGAGAAGTGATGTATGTATATTTCCCTGGTGAGCTGTTTCTCCGTATGTTACGTTGTCTTACTCTTCCCTTGATTATGTCCAGCCTAATATCTTCTGTGGGAAGTCTTGACACAAAATTGTCCGGAAAAATTGGACTTCGAGCCATTTGTTATTACTTGGCTACCACTATGTTGGCGATAATTTTAGGTATTATTTTGGTTGTTTCAATTCGTCCGGGTGCTGGGAGCTTTGACGATATGGAGTCAGTAGAGAAGAACGCACGAGAGTCCACAACTGCAGACACCTTGATGGATCTGGTCAGGTAGGTATATTTGGAATTAGATAGAGAGCTGAAATTAGTACAGCTCACACAAGACGAACGAGAAAGAGTGAAATGATAATTAAACAGACAATTTTCGTTGATTTTTTTTTTTATTAAGCGCAAAACACACAATGGACTGTCTGTACTGTAGTCATGTCCACTGCGAAGAATCAAACATCGGATTTTAGCGTTATAAACCCCTAAGGTTAACTATGAGGCAACGAGGCCAAAATATCTTGTAAAATGTTTCATAAAACAAACGTATGATTTAAAATAGAATTCAGTATATGTGTTTACATATTTAGATCACAATTTAATAAAAGTAAAATTAACAGCCCAATCGAATTAAAAGTATTAAGAATTAAGTAATTTAGAATTTAAAAATTATAGAAGTGTTTTAAATATTATAATTTTCATCTTTCAAATGTTAACGTAATATGTACATAGAGACATATACTAGCATATATATACATATGTATATATATATTCCCTGAAGGGTCAGAGATAAGTTTACGCGCACATAACCCATTGTGTACCTTTGCGTTAACACAAACAATATATATATATACATCTTTGTGGAACTAAGGTTCCGTGGTTCATGTCTCGTTACCACACACTTCACACTTGTGGCTGTGGGTACATTATAAAGGAGACGGTCAAATTCCATTATTCAGTGTAAAAGTAACCCAAGAGTTTGTATTGACTTGATGTCTTTCCTTTAGTCATTACCGCTTTACAATTAAGGATGGCTAGCGCAGCTGGCCCTCATGACATCATGCAAAGTCCAACGAAATAAACAGAAATTATTCCATAGCCAATAAACTGTAATAAATCCACTTTATCCTCCAAATGAAAATATATCACATCATACTATTAAACAACTAACTCGGTGTCAATAAAGATGGTACATTTCAATTACACTGATGTGATCATATCCATCTTAATTTTTCTATCTAGAGTAATATAATTAAAACAAAAATATTACACATTGATTTCAACTTATGAAGTTATTATCGTGATTTATCTCTTATCGTCACCGCTATACCATAAATGTAGAGGTAGTTATTTAAAACAGTTTGTTCTTGTTAAACACAATGGGCTATCTGAGCTCTTCTCACCGCAAGTATCGAAACCCGAGTTTTAGTGTTAAAAGCCCTCAGCCTTTCTGCTGAGCCACCGGGGTGTTTGAAAATATGGCCTGTAGAAAATGGAAATGCACATTCCAACACTACCAATAGTAAGTAAAGACTCCAAGATCATCCTAACGATAACCTTGGTTAGTGTAAAACATATAATAAATAGATTATCAGAACTTTTTAGTTACAATTGGCTTATACATTAAACTAACCGTACTCGAGATTATGACTTGTAATTTTTTTTTCTTTTTTTAACCTTTCTAGATAAGAAACAATGTTAACAAATAAGTTGCTGACTCATTACGTAGCGTAACATAAACTTTTACTGTGCATTTTTCTTCAAAGATAAATGTTAGGTATGCACGGGTAGTAAAATTTGGCCGAATACCGAGACCGGCTACTTGGTAACTAAGCTTCGGCCTGGGCCGGGTGTCTACCGGGACCGAGTTCTCCCTTCACCTCTCCTCCCCCAAATGTACACAATTAGAAACAAAACCAAAATTGACGTTTATTACATTTTACCGAATAATCACCAAAAACATTCAAATTTTACTTTCAACTTTCAATGTCTAACCTCAACTTCTTAAACCCTAACCCCTATTGTTCTCAAAAACCCCACCCTCCCCAGAAATCCACTTCTCAAGCCATACCTGTTATTAACCCTTATTGTTCTCTTAATCCTCGGGCGGTCAGTCGTTGTTGCTCGGAACACGTTATTTTTCAACTAAACCAGTTATTGACTTTAACTTTCAGTAACGCGTTAGTTGCCACAAAGATTAGGACTTAGATGCCTAACTTCGACACTCGGCCGGAGCCGAGTATTACCGGGTGGCCCAATACCCGGCCGGGTTTCCCTGCATCCCTAATAAATACACATGTACATATTTGCTCAGAGATATTGATACAATACTAGCAGTGCCATGCTGTAAAGTACCGATGTTTATCATTACACATACATATGCATCCTGCAATTTATTACATAAAATATGATATATAACACGTGGATACCTAGGAAGGATTGTATCATTTTATTGTAAAAGTTTCAAGCATTTTACGAAATAAAATAAGAATCCTTTTACGTCAATTGAGAAAATTCTCCCGAACTTTAATGAAATGTCCTTCAACACCTTTACTACGATGTTCACCATCTACCATGTCTTCATTAGCCATATTTGTGAAAGATAAATGTAAACGTTTCTTTTGGTGGGGTAAATAAAATAGAGGAAAGGTTTGATGAATTTCTTGCATCCGAAACTTGGATGTTACCGCCTTTAAGATAACTGGAAATATTCTTCTTTTCGAAAATATGTTGCAATTATTTTAAACTCCTGTGTTGTATGTTACTTCGAAGGTCATTTTGTAATAGTGACTCGAGTTTTTCGGCTTGATTTCTATAGATATATACATATTACATAGATAACTTACGTTCGTGATTTTATGAATAATTACTTTCACCTATACAGAATGAAACTCATGAACTAACATTGTCCGCGTGGCCCGGCATGGCTAGATATTTAGGGCGCTTGACTCGCAATCTGAGTCCGCGTGGCCCGGCATGGCCAAATATTTAGGGCGCTTGACTTGCAATCTGAGGGTCGTGGGTTCGAATCCCCGTCCTACCAAATATGCTCGCCCTTTCAGCCGTGGGGGCGTTATAATGTGACGGTCAATCCCACTATTCGTTGGTAAAAGAGTAGCCCAAGAGTTGGCGGCGGGTGGGGATTACTAGATGCCTTCCCTCTAGTCTTTCATTGTTAAATTATGGACGGCGAATGCAGATAGTCTTCGTGTAGCTTTGCGTGAAATTCACAACCAACCAAACAAACAATGTACGCATAAAATGAGTTCCTATATGAGAAAGAGCAAAAAAAAGAAAAAGAAAGAAAAAGAGAAGAACACCCATAATACGTGTTTAGAAGAACTCTATATAGTTTGATAGTATTAGCTGTAGATGCAGAAGATTAACAAGAAGTATTTAATCCAGTAAGTTGAAAAAATTCCGATGTTTTCACAGAATAGCATAAGTATATTTTGAATCAGTTTTTCACGACTGAATATTGTGTGGTATAGTTTCTATTCATGTGCCCCCTCAACTTACAACGCAAAAAACAGGTTTGGATACCCGTGGTGGCCAGAGCACAGTTAGCCTATTGTGTAGCTTCGTGCTTAATTACAAACAACAACGACCCTCCAGGTTGAAATATGCGTGCAGATGATTCACCAATATAGACTCATCTGACTTCACTTAGTACTTCAGGAAGGTTAAGAAGATATACTTCCATGATTTTATATATCATTCCTAGATGGTGACTTTTGTTGCAAAGATATAATTTAAATAAGAATCAAAAACGAATGAAGCGTTAGGCTTAGCTGTTTTAGAAAATGAAAGTAATATGGTGTCTACCTATTAAGAACTCAGATACACAAGTACTGATAAGAAGAGATTCCACTGCTATATGATTTGGATTTTTTTCAATATAGTTTGTAGACGGCTTGAATTGGCAAATAAGAAAATTGTATAGTAGCAAATATCTGAAATTTCGACAAGGTTTTGTCATCAGTTGAGTTTTTTTTAATTTTACATTTAATAATCGTTTTGATGTTTGTCTTTTCTAGGATTTTCCAACAAAAATTTAGGATTAAAAGCTGTATATAGTGGATATAGTCAATGCCATTAAGATTTTGTTTTTTACTTTATTTTAGAAACATGTTTCCTCCGAATCTGTTTCAAGCAACTATAGAACAGGTAACTTTCTGTGCTTGTTGAACATACGGTATTCATAAAACTATGATATACTTCTGATAAAATGCGTAAAAACCTTAGATGGCCAGGTTAAACCTGAAAAGCAAGATGGTGGTTTACTATGACTAGATAGATTTGAAAAGAAACAAATATGTTTTTTTCCTTTTTTAAAATACATTTTTTGATTAATATAAAGATGAAAAAGTCAAGTGTATTGTTTTTGTAGTCAGGCCCTGTATCTGGCATGTTAATTGGAGATACCTGAAGAAAAACAAAAGCAAGTATTGGTTTTGCTGTATTGTAACAGCTAAATAAGCTTCTTAGATTCTCTCTTAGAACACGAAAAGAAAGGTTGTTACTTATATATATAATTAAATAGGTTCAATAATATTTTTAGTTCTATTGACAGGAATAGAAATATATATATTAGCAAAAAGATTTTACGTTAATTAATTCGAGAATTTTATGTTTACTTGTTACAAAAGTAATAAAGTTTTGTTTTTTTCAGTTAGAAAGTCATGTAACTGTTGTTTTTATTTATATAATAAAATATTTCTTCTTTTAAGAAAGTTAAGCATTTAGTATTTTCAGATAGTAGGAAACAAACAATATATTTAATAGAACAGATAACATTTCTGTTCAATAAACAGGATAGGACAGTTACATTTTTGTTCGTATATCAGTAGAATAAAAATTTCTTTTTAAACGGGTAGAAAGAACTTTACAGATGGAATAAGTTTCTTTTGTTTTGTTTAATAGATACAGAAGAAAATATGTTGTTTAGTTGTTAGTTTCTGTTTCTATGAAGATGCAGAATGTTATTGTGTTTTACTGTCAGAGCAAACGCCATCGTTATAATCATGCGAAGTATTTTAGTAACCATACTCTGAATACTAAATCCCTTATTATTTCTTGTCGACAAGATGTAAAAAAAAGGTGTTAAGTTTAAGCACGGTTGTTCTGATATAGTTTCTAAGGAAGTAATCAGAATTATCTTCATGACTATGTATTTCTCTTCTAGTATAAGACAGTGATTACTCATCCAGAATCAAGTGAAAACGATACTTTTAGGGAGAACGTCACTGAAGGTAAGTATTATAGCATCCATTTTAAAATAGCTTTGTTCAAGGTAGGCTTGGCGGTTAAAAAGAGCACATAATTTTGCGATTTTTGCAGTAGTAGACATAAAAGAAGGTGAATAATAAAATATTTTTTCAATCCAAAAATCGCACACAAGCCATTTTTGTATAAAAGTAATTTGCCCCCATGCTTTGCTTTCACCTCTAATTTTTTATGAATGCCGCAGTATCCAAAAACTAATACGGCATCATCAAAACATACATAGGTTCAATCAATTTTGATGAAACAGTTAGCACAAAGGATTACATATAAAGTGTAATAGACTTAAAATAAGACCCAAAACTCGAGCTCTTTCGAATAGTTGACTATTCTTATTCAGGAGAACAAAGGGTGTTTCTTTTTTCTTTTTTTTGAAGAAAGCTCTTTAAGTGTGGTTCTCTGTTGACTGGGGGTGACCAGGTGGATTTTTCTTTAAACTGTATACCGATATCGTTTGCGTTAGTGGTTTTATTCTGAACGCAAATTAAGACTTCCCGAAGTCTTAATTTGCGTGCAAATTCTTGAAGGTCGGAAATAACTTCGAAATTATCTATGTTCTTAGGGGTAGGAGAAAAGTTGAGACATTTACTGAGAAGGTTGTGTTGAGTTTCAGTTAATGTTTTAGAGGACAGATTTATGACATTGGGTTTGGGTCTCTCAGACAAGGAAGTAACTGAATTGGATGAGTCAGGAGTAGAGCTTATTTTATGAGACAATTCAACTTGTGAGTTTGTATTATTTGAGTTATTGGTCAATGATTCACAGGTAGTGTCAGTAGGGGCTTGTTTAAAGTTATTATTTCGTTGTGAACAGACGGTAAGATTTTGGTGAGATAATACTTTACTTTTATGTGAAAGATTATAATGTGTTTGTTCCTTGTTGTTTATCGCGTGATTTTCGAAAGACTTTTTTGTTTTGTTAATAAAAACATCAAATTTATTTTGTTCAGTAGTAGAAATTGTTTTCTCGGAATTTACAATGGAAATGTTCTTATCAAGATCGGCTACTGTGGATTTACAGAAGTCTTGTGTGAGCTTCATTAGTGCAACTGAAGTGGAATGGAAGATTTTCTTCCATTGTAAACAAAATAGTTTGTCGTTGGCTCCTATGGTAATTGGTGGATTCAGATTAAGTGATTTAGGTATAGTTTTACACTGTAAATACTGTTCTAAAACGTCAGTGTGGCTAATATATCTCAGTCTTTTTTCGTTCAGTTTTCTAAGTCGTTTGAAAGTTTTGGTAGGGTTGAGATTAGAATACGATTGGGAAATTGTAATGGAGGGAAGGCTTAATTTGAGGGGAGTGGAAGATTTTCCTATGGGACGAGAAGGTTCAGAGTTATCAGGTTTGGAACTTATGGAGGATTGCTAGGGATATAGAGGATATCAGAAGGAAGGTTGTTTTCAAGGTGTGAAAAAGATTCGGCTTTTGGAAGGAGATAAAGTTCAGAAATTGTGGAGTTTGGAAGGTCATCAGGCTCAGGGCTTACTAGAAGGTTATTTGGAATAAGAGTGGAAGCCGTATCTTCTGCATGAGTAGAGAATTTAGGAGAAGGGTCAAATGTAGACTTTCGAATAGTTCCAGGAGAAGTAGTGATAGAAATGGAATTTGGAGATATAGAAGTGTGGCATACAGATGTATGTACTTTGGGTTGAAAGGTTGTGACTGAAGCAGGCTTCGTGGATTGGGTATCAGGTTTAGGGCTTAGGGAAAGGTTACTAGAAATAAAAGTGGAAGTCGTAACTTCAGCATGTGTTATACATTTAGGCGAAGGGTCACAATTAGAGTTTGGGACAGTTCCAGGAGAAATAGGGTTTGGAAATGTAGTAGAGATGTGGCATACAAATGTATGCTCTTCGGGTTGAGGTTTTTTTAATGAGATAGGGGTATGGGGAATAGAAAAGGTTGAAGAAGATTTAGGACAAGGGTTGTTTGGTTGGTTTAAGCTGGAGTATTCAGTGTTAGTTTGTAGGCGAGGAAGAACAAAGTTGGTAATAAAGAAGCGGAAATTACAGGATAGAGAAACGATTCCTTGGAAGGAAAGGTGTAAACTAAGAAATGTATCCTGCTTTCAAGTTTCAAGTTAGTGTTGTAAAGGAAAGACAAGCGTGGGTTACGTCGACATAGATCATGTGCTAGAGCGTTGATTTTGTCAATTTTGTGATTTAAAGTGTCAGTAGTACAGACCTGTCTTAGAAAGAGATCATCAGTATGTCTATTAACGTCATGGTAAATAACGCTTGAAAAACATACGCGAAGGTCAGTATGGAGTGTCAAAGTATGTAACAGTAAGGTTTGTAGGTCACTAAAACAGTCATAAGCGGTCTTTGAGTTCCGTTTGAGGTCGTTAGTTCCAACATGAACAATTAGGTATTTTACAGTCTGTGGCAGTAAAGATATAGAATCTAAAAGGTCAAGTGAAGTGGCTCCACTAATGGA